AACAGACTCTAAACCTTCAGGGTTTGAAACCTGCCTGACCTGCGAGAGACTCATCCCTCCCTGGTCAATGGGCAGAGCTGATGCCTGTTCTGTCTGGGGGAGGGTCAGATCCTTAATAAGTGTTCAATTTCTAAATCCTCTTCAGGATTCACAAATTGAGGGCCATGCAGCTGAAACTGTACCTGCTTAAGCAATGTATGTGCATCATCTGAGACCTGGCCTGCCCCAGGCCCCCTGAATCTGGGCAGCCCTGGAATGTCTCACTATAAAACACTGGCCAGATTCTACTGGGTTTATGGTGCTTTGTGCTATGGACTGGAGCAAAGTGGCTGGTGAATAACCAAGAATCTGGTTAATAACTATTCTCTAAATTCAGCTCTCTATCTCTCTGAATTATCACTAATTCAAAATAATGTGCAAGTTGACTGGATAATGGTAATAGCATAATCTCTTGTTAGAACATTGTAAACCCTACTACCTGATTTTTATATTAAACACTTACTATACATAATCTAATATCAGGGATTTATTGTAACCTGGCTATGCCACTGCTGTAGAGGGCTCATCACCCAGTAGCTGGGGACCACCATGTGGGCTCGGCAGGGCTGCTGGCCACGGGGCCAACGGGTGTGGGTGGGATCTCAGGAGTCACGTCCCAGGGATCCGCCCCACTCTCCAGCACTGCTCCAGCTCTGAGCTGTCTCCACTGCCTGGGACCTGTGGGGCCCCACCTGCTTCCCCAGGGAAAGAGCCACCTGGGACTGGTGCAGAGGCTGGGCCAGTCTCAGCCAGTCACAGGGGACGGACGGGGGGGGGGGTGGGGGGGGGGTGGGCAGCTCAGCTGGGTCCTGCCAGGCATGTGGGTCCTGAGGGAGCCTGGCCCGGGTAGGCTCTGCTCCTGCTCCAGCCTGGCTGATTGCACCCCCAAGGGGCCAGAGTTATCCTGCCCCAGGACCAGCTCTGGCTGGCAGACACAGTCACGTCCCATCAGGGCCGGCTATTGTGGCTGGGGGTTAGGGTGTTGGAGAGTAGGTCTCTAGTGGGGGAGATCTGTGTGTGGCAGGGTGCTGGGAAGTGTGGGGGTCTGTGCGGGGCACTGTGCAGTTGTGGCAGTGGGGGGCTCTGGGCAGGGAGGTGCAGGGCACTGTGCAGTTGTGGGAGGACTGTGGGGGGTCTCCAGCTAGGGGGCAGTGAGAGGATCTATGGGGGGTTCTGAGTGGGTGGGGGTGTAGTCTGTGGAAGGGCACTGGACATGGGGGTTTGTGGGGGTCTCTGGGTGGTGTGGCACTGGGTGTAGGGAGTCAGAGGGGTGCTGGGCAGGGGGGTAGCATGGGACTGCCCCGAAGAGGAAGAAGCACCATGGGAGCGCAGGGCTGGGCTGGCCGGTGTGTGTCTGGCACCTTCCGGTTTGTAAACAGTGCCCTTGTACTGAGCTGGGTGGTGCGGGGCATCTCCCATTGCCCCTGGCCAGCCCGTCGCTCTGAGGACTCTGCCCCTTGCCCCCATTTCCCCCATGGGGGCTCACAAATATGTTTAGCACCAGGCCCACAAAAGGTTAATCCAGTCCTTTTTGGGGTGGAGGCTCTGGGATGCAGGAGGGTTGTGGGCTATGGGGAGTTTGAGTGAGGGGTGCAGGCTCTGACCTGGGGCATGGGATTGGGGTACAGGAGGGGGTGCAGACATGTGGGCTCTGGGAGGGAGTTAGCAACTCAGCACGTTATATAAGAGAAATGAGCTGCAGTGATTTCATATAGACACAGAAACTGATAGAAGTCACTTTTACATATTCAAAATGTGAGAGGCAGAGTTTGAGGGAGGGAGTGTCTGTACAATATTTCACCGCATTCAGTCTCCTACCTGGAGCAGTAACATAGCCCTGCACAGGGCTGTCCAGAGGATTCAGCGTCCAGGAGTGGCGCTGGACAGCGTTGGAGCCACGGCGCTGCAGCGTGCCAGGGCCGCTCCCAGACGCGGCGTGCGGAGACACAGGGGCTTGGGGGAAGACTGAGGCAGGGGCAGCCTCTGACATACTCATGGGGGCCCTTGTGGAAAATTGCCCCACTTGCCCCACCCCGGGCAGCCCTGGCCCTGCAACACTTGTATAGGATAGAGAGGAGCTGCAGTGATTAAGCTTTGACAGGCCAGGAATTGGAGGCCTGTGCCTTTAAGACCCCAGTCCCAAGAACCCGCCCCCTGCTCCGAGGCGGACATGCAGCATCCCTGTGAGAACAAAAACAGCCTCTGCCCCCCCCACACCCCTAGATTAGCGAGCACAGTGGGTGGCTCATCCCACAGGGTCACTGTCCCCCCCCAAACGGAGGTTTTGTACCCGCACAGGGTCTGGCAGCATCTCCCCCCCCCCCCCAGGCTTAACCCCAGCTCCCACCCCCAATTTTTCCCCTTCAGCCCCTCTTCTGCCGCTAGCTACAGTAGCTTGAGCCCCCCAGGCCAGTAAATTACTGCCCCTGCTCACCCGAACTGAGCATGCTCAGTACACCCAAAGTAGGGAAACGGAGCAGGGTCTTTCCCCTCCCCCAGGGCAGTGCCTCTCAGCGTGGGCGTCCCCAGGCTGGGTTCTTAAAGGCACAGGCACCCCAGTGCCTAGTCACTGCAGCGCCTCTGTCTTAACCCACTGAGGTGCTATAGACTTAATTCAGTGAAACATTTTACATACCCCCCTCAGAAACAAAGGCTCACTTATCAGTGTGCCTGACAGCGTACAGTCTCATAGCAGTTTAGAAATGCTTATCTACTGCTGGGATTCCCTGAATTACTCGTGGCACTTCAGCATTTAGCTTAGTTTTTGTGCAGAAGCACACCACTGTGCTATTTTAATACTCATTGAAAACATGCATAAGTACTTGCTAGTCATATCTGTGTTCAACAATGGTGCAAGAGACTTGTTGGACTTGCCGCAATGTCACTAGAGCATGAAATAGCTGGAAAACTGGATCTAAAAGAACTAGTGACTGAAGTTTCAAAATGTAAAGCAAGAAAAGTCATGTTTTAAGAACAATATTTATTTGGAGTGTTTTGTAACTACAGGTTAAAGTTCATTGAAGAGTTTTCTTATTTCTTTCTATATTGGATGTGGTGGTAATGGCAGTTAAAGCAGGATAGCGTAATGGAGGATTTTGGATTTGTAACATTAACATTTTAATGCATTTTATTTGAAATCCGACTGAAATATCATCTAACTATCATATACAAATCTATTCTGAAAATTTCATGTCTCTATTTTATCGGATCTCAGAAACATCGGTTGGACAGAGAGACAGACAAACCGAATAACTAAGCCTCTGTTTAATTAAAAAAAAAAAACACATTAAAAAGAAAAAAGGGGTACAGTGTTTCCCAGTTTACCAAAAACTTAGCCTAAATCTGTCCTTGGGGGTGTCGATTGCATGGTTCGCCTAGGGCTGCCCCTGAGAATTGTATTTCCTGAACCCATCAGAAGCAGTGCAAAGGCTTAGGGGAGCTGGGGTAACAGAAGAGCTGAGGGACAGGGAAGGAGCACCTGGAGGGTGTTAGGTGAGACTGGGAGGTTTTTCTTGGGGGAGGGAGGGTTGTTAGGAAGCCTCCCCCATGCAGATCCTGGCTGACCTCAAGCTTTGCCCATTCAGTCAGGCACATCTACCCCTGTCCCCACACCCCTGCATCCCCATGGGTCTCTGCAGTCCCCCTCCCCCATGGATCATGGTCACCCCACTAGCTCCTGAGTCCATGCTTTAGTCTGTCCCCCACCAGCCATTCTGAACCCCAGTCTGTGACCCCCCCACCGGCTAGACTCTGTCCTAGCCTGGCTCTGTGGGCAGGGTGCTGTGAGGAACTTCTGCTCCTGGGGCAATTCTGCACCACTGGGCAGCGAATTTTGCCTTTTCCCACATTTGTGTGTAAGCAGTGCTGCAGTTCTGCCTTTTGCCCACTAGAGGCCACTGTGGCACTAGTATCAGAGGGGTTAGTCTGGATCTGTAAAAAGCAACAGGGGGACTAGCTGGCTCGGGGGTTGTACTGCTGAAACGGAGCTGGGGGTGCGAGTGGGTTACAAATTGAATGAGTCAGCAACGGCCTGCAGCTGCAAAGAAAGTGAACCCACCCCGGGGGTCGGATTTTCCAAAGAGCCCAGCACCCAATAGCCCTTCTTCCCGCACAGCGGAGCTAACGAGGGGGAACAGAGCCTCCTTGTATCCAGGGTAGCAGCTGATGCCCTTGAGGCCTTATTGGAGTCAGAGGGTGACCTTGTGATTAAGGCCTTGTCGACAGGGGGATACATATGGACACCAGGCAGGGTCATTTAGAAGCCAAACACTTTATGCTTCCATGGTACACCACAGTCAAGTTTTAGCAAATTAGGACAAGTCAGCAAATGAGAACAACTATGGGCATCAGTCATTGCTACTAGTAACAATTCACTGCTGCTGGTAGCAAATTACATCAGAGAGCAGTTTTTTATAATATAGTGTGAAACTGCTATCAGACAGTTTTTTGTTGGTTTAACAATTGCTTACATCTGAGTAACTGCTACAGGTAGCAAATTCCTACAGCTAGCAGTTTCTCAAAGTACAGGGTAGCCGTGTTAGTTTGTAGCCACAAAAAACAAGGAGTCCAGTGGCACCTTAAAGGCCAAGGGATTTATTTGGGTGTAAGCATCTGAAGAAGTAGGTTTTTTAACCCACAAAAGCTTATGCCCACCTAAATCTGTTAGCCTTTAAGGTGCCACCAGACCTCCAGGACTGTGTGGCTGCCCATATTTGGGAAGCCCTGGTCTAGCCTCCCTCAGCGCACCTTCTGGGAAGAGGCTGTTACCCCTGGAGCACAACGAGAGCAACTAAGGCATCAGATGCCCAGGGATCCCCCACCTGCACCAGCACAGACCCAGTTCGCCCTGCAGCCACTACTGGTAGCTGGGAGCAAAACTGGAGTCACAGAGACAGACTGGAGCCAGCCCGCCCCGGAGCTCCCCAGGCAGATAAACCCCCTGCCCGCAGCTCTCTGCTCACCTGCGCCCAGCAGGCGGCTCCACCGCAAGGGGGACCGGGTTAGCGCTGCGCTCGGCTCGGCTCTGCTGCGGGACTAGCCACTCTCGCTCCGGGCTTGAGACAAGAGCGCGCTGTATTTATAGGGAGGATGTCTTGTTTCGTCAGACCTGCGCCTGCGCACGTGCCCCGTCCCTAGCACGGGGTGCTGGCCGGTGCAGGGGCGGGCCTGGGAAAAAGGGTGAGGGGGCGGGGCTTGCTGTGCTGGAGAGTGGAGCCATTTGCCCATCCCTGAATTAGGGTGTGCCCGTGCACATCCCGTGCACACGCCTATGGACAAGCACGGTTGGTTTAGCTCGGATTCAGTTTCATTCTTGTTTGTTTAACACTTCAGAGAGGAGCTGCGGGGCCAGGCGGTGATTCCCCTCGCCCTACACAGCGACAGACGGTATAAAAGGGCCAGAGCGGGCCGGGGCTGTAGCTGCAGCTGCGTGTCCCGGCCCCGCAAACTCGCTGGGGTTAACCCTTTCCTCGCTGTGTCCTGCCGGGGGCTGCTGCCCAGGTGAGCGGAGAGCTGGGGGTGGGGATTTATCCGCAGGGCGCCGGTCTGGCTCCGCCCTGTCTCCCCGGCTTTGTCCCCGCGGATCCAGTTCAGCTCCCAGCTCATTTGCCCGGCGGGTCTGTGCGGGGCTGGTTGCGGGGCTCCTATGGGGCGGGGGGCGCTGGGGACAGGGGCAGTGATGCCCTGGGCAGGCCCCAGTGCCCAGCCCGGGACGTGTCCGCCCTGCAAAGCCAGGTGGGGTCTGATCTCTGCACCCCACTGCGGAGCCCGCGGGGTTTGCCCTGGGCTCAGACCCTCGGTGCCGGTGCAGTGAAGGGCACTGCTCCGCGTAGGAATCTGCTACTGGTAGCACTTATCGATAGGTATAGAGTGTTAGAAGCTGCTATTGTATTAAACTGCTACCTGATGTACAAATGCCTATAGGTAGCAGTTTCTTGCACTATAGTATATGTGAAATTATTACGTGTAGAAATCTGCTATCTGTAGCAGTTAGTGATACGTATAGATTGAAAGAAACAGCTTTCGTAAAAAGATTTTACTTTATTTGTACGTGCTTGAAAACTGTTATATTTCAGTCTTCCTTCATATGTTTTCATATTTCAATTTTCCCTCATATGTCATGGTTTTTAGACCTTAAATCAGGCCTGCCCAACTCGTAAAGCAATGAGGGCCATATTACTCCAAAGAAAACAGCTGAGGGCTGAACCCCCCCCCCCAAACACAACCCCCCCCCAGCACCGCCCACCCCGCGGAAACAAACCCTCCTTCCCCAGCGCCCCCTGCTGAAACAGCTGTGGGTTGAAAAGGAAGGTTGGGGGGGGTGATACTTTATTAAGAATTTTTCAATTAAAGCAAACACTTTTTAAAATTATTTTAATTTTTTTAAGAATCATGGAAAAATGAAAAACACCTGTTCCGTTGAAAGACAACATTTGTACTTTTCTTAATTACCTTGCAAATTTAATGAGATATTACATCTCCCACACACAAACACAGGGGCCACAGGGAGCCCGGGCGCAGGGCGGGGAAGGTCCCTGGACCAGGGAAGGGGGCAGCAGTTGGGGCTTTGTGGGGGATCTCGGCCCAGTCCCTGCCCCCGAGCTGCAGCTTGAGCCCAGGCCGGGCGCCCCTCCCCTCGCTCGGTACTTACCAGCTCTGCCTCGTGCCCACCGCTTCCTGCCTCAGCAGGCCCCGGAAGTGACACACTCATTGTACGCCAGGTGGGGGGAGCGGGAGACGGAGACACGTGCGCTTCTGGCCGTTCGGGAGGTTGGAGCACGGCGCGCACACATGGGGCTGTGAGGTGGGCCCCTCCCTGGGCAGGGGGCGAACCCAGGGCCAGTGTAAAGATATTTTGTGCCCTAGGTGAAACTTCCACCTTGCGCCCCCCTCCCCCTCCCCCGTAACATCGGTTCATTGAGGGGCAAATCCCAACGAGCCTTTATAGACCCCAGGGGCCAGCTTGCCCAGGGGCTGCTCCCCAGACCAGGTCCCCTCCCCGCCCCCTGAACTCCCCTGGTGGGTGCACAGCCCCCCCGTGAGCCCTCCCCACCCCAGTGGCCCCCGCCCCACGTCCACTCACTGGCTTTGCCAGGCCTGGGATGCTGCAGCAGCTCGGCAGAGAGGAGCCGCCTTCCGGAGGCACCAGAGCCAGAGCGTCCTGCTTGCGGGGGTGGCGAGCCCCAGCCATGGAGGGGGGCAGCAGCCCTGCAAAGGCAGCGGCGTGGCTAGCGGGGAGCAGCCATGCCCCCCGCCCCTCCTGTCCAGGCTGCAGCCCGGCGCCCCCCCCGGGGGCTCCTGCAAGCCGCAGCAGATGCATGCAGGCACGGCCCCCCATGCATCCCCCAGCTGCCCACTCGCCGTGCTCAGGCTCTGCGGCTCCTGGGAGTGTGAGCCACCACCGCCACTGCCCCTCCTGGAGCAGGCTCAGGGCCCCACGCCCCGGTGGCTCACATGCCCGGGAGCCGCAAAGCCCGAGCGTGGCGAGGGGGGTGCACGGGGGCCGCCGACTGCATGCATCTGCTGCAGCCTGCAGAAGCCCCTGGGGGGGGGCACACCAGGCCGCAGCCTGGGCAGGAGGGGCATGGGGCGTGGCTGCTCCCTGCTAGCTGCCGCCTTTGCAGGGCTACTGCCCCCCCTGTGCTGCACCGGCTCCACCATGGCTGGGGCTTGCTGCCCTTGCAAGCTTATGCTCTGGCTGTCCCGTGCCTCCGGAAGGCGGCTCCTCCCTGCCGAGCCACTGCTTTTTTAGGGTTACCATAATCAAAAAAGAGGACGGGGGAGAGCCCAACCTGAGTCCCGCCCCCATCCACTCCCTCCCACTTCAGAACCCCCAACCTGCCCCACTCCTTGTCCCTAACTGCCCCCTCTTGGGACCTTACCCCCTACCTGTCCCGTGACTGCCCCAACCCTTATCCACACCCCCACCCCCAGACAGACCCCTGGGACTCCCACGCCCCATCCAACCACTCCCCACCCCCTGACAGAACCCCCAGAACTCCTGACCCATCCAATCCTCCCCCTGCTCCCTGACAGCCCCCCGGGGACTCCCTTCACCATGCCCAGGCTGCTCCAAGTGGAGCGAAACCAAACAAGCTGCTGAGCACCCTGCCCCTCCCCTGCAGAGTGCTGGCCACGCGATGCTGAGGCAAGGGGAGGGGGGAGCGGGGGAGGGACTCTGCCTGCTGGAGGCCAATGGGAGCAGCTAAATCAGGCCCAGGCGCCCAATCAGCACTCTGCGTGAGGGGAAAGGAGAGGAGGGAGGAAAAATCTCAGATGGTTGCATCTGCCCTGGGTGAACCCGACAGCCCCACCCCGCCGCTTGCCCGCGGGCTGCACAGTGAGCCCGTGGGCTGCATGTTGTGCAGGCCTGCCTTAAATTTTCACAAACTTTATAAGTGTACTCTCTGTGCCATTATCTCAATCATTAAGATTTTGAATAGAAACATATCCAGAACTGATCCCTGGAGAACCCTGCTCGTTATGCCCATCTTATTTATCATTATGTCCATCTAGGTTTCATTTCCATAGTTTGTTTATGAGAAGGTCATGGAAGACAGTATCAAAAGCCTTACTAAAGGCAAGATATACCACCTCTACTGCTGGTAGGCTTGTTACACTGTTAAAGAAAGCTATCCGGTTGGTTTTACATGTGAGACTGCTTGAAATACCTTTTTTAGTAAAGTTGGACCTGTCGCTGCTGCACCATTGGTATGTGAGACTGCTATCTGTAGGAATCAGCTACACCAATGGCCCTTTTTTTTTTTTAAAGCAAAGTTGGACCTCTCACTGCTGCAGGTAGCAAGTTCCTACGGGGGGTGCGTGCACACCCCCCCCCCCCCCGCAAACTATAGGGATGTGCTACCTGACACACTGCAATGTGTTGAAGCTAATTCCTACAAACAGCAGTTTCTCACACCGTCGCTACATGGGACTGCTACCTGTAGGAATCAGCTACATTAGATGGCCTTTTTCCCCCTCACTGTTCAGTCTTTGTACCTCAGGTGTTTCTGGTTGTTCTTGTAGGCTGTCATTGTCCACCTTTTCTTTCTTCCCACCCCAATTTCTGGAAGGCTCTTGTACTGTGACCTGGGTCAAACAGCACCCACTGTGTAGAGGTATCTGATCTTGGTCAAGTATAGCACTGTACTTGTATAGCACTATCGTTCAGAGGCACAGTTCCTGGGATAATTGTAGATAATCCCTGAGACTTAATTCAGTGAAACATTTTACATATATCCCCTCAGAAACAAAGAATCCCTTATCACTCTATCTGATTGCATAGAGTCTCTGAGCAGTTTCCCAAATTCTCTTATCTGCTGCTGGGATTTCCTGAATTTTTAATTCTAATTTTTTCCCCATTGTATAGCACTATCGTTCAGAGGCACAGTTCCTGGGGTAATCTTTATGTCTTTGTGCATTGCTTCAATAAGCCACTAACATTGTCTGGCCTCATCCAACAGAGCACATGTGAAATACAGAGACATGGTCAATATTCTAGCCTCAGA